CATAGAGCAGTTGGTGGAAATGCTCTGCTACAATTTCGGCCGCTTCTTCGGGTTGTGCGATGGTGTCGTCTTGTTTTTTGATGACGGTGGTTGCAGGTTTGTCTCTTGTCAACTCTTTCACCGCTTGCTGTATAGCCTTATACAGCAAAGAATTCTGAGCAAAATAAGATATCTTCCGGCTGTCTATAACGTTTTCGAACTACGCTAGAATCAACTCTTCATATCAAAACCTGAAGTTTTTATTGAAATTTTAAAATAGGACACAAAACCCGAAAAAACCTTGAAAACTTTTTTATCAAAAACTACAAATCGATTTACCATTGGCTACAAAGGGTGCGAAAATTATCAAAATGTTTCGGTGAAAAGCGTTATAGACAGCCGGGAGATATCTTATTTTGCTCAGAATTCTTTGCTGTATAAGGCTATATGGTGCATAAAATTATCTGACTCTATTTTGTTCGGAGATTGGTGTTAAAACCGGTTGATAAGTAAATTAGACCAGAAAAAACCAAGTTTAAGACCAAAGTATACCCTATTCTGGTATACTTTTTTCCAGTAAAGGTTTTTTTTTCCCGTAGACGCAGATAGATTTCAGATCTCTACATGACTGTGGCAGATAGACCTCATACCCATACAGTTTCTGACAAAATTACAATTTGGTTCTGCATATCATTTGGATTTTACAAGTATTTTACTGCGCACATGCACTATGTGTATGATCGATTTTTTTTCATAAATGACCCATTTTTCCTAGAAGAACTAGGCTCGATTAACCATTATCGAACTAGTTTGTACAGTTTTCATTGCTCCACAAGAATATGGGTAAGACAACATCTCATTGTATTACATTACCGAATCTCGATTTTTCCTCTTACATCAATACCGATTATAGACCTAGAACATGGTAACACCCATATCTCGGTAACCAGAAGGTATTAACCCAATCCCAATACAGATTTAGATCCGCCACAAGAAGCTCTACGAAACCTGATATATCGCTTTCTGATTCGACATACTTTTGAAATTCGACAGGGTCCTTTTGAATATAATATGCTCCTGTTGCTCCCTGAAACTGCCAGTGTTTGTGCCTGCGTGTTCTTTTAGAGTTAAAACAAAATAATGGAGAAGTTCAAGAGAAGAGTACACTGGTGAAGTAGTTTATTTCGGTGGAACTGAGGTTTCTTTTTAAAATTTTTAAAAACTAGTTTTTTTCCTTCTAAATTCGATATTGACTGTTTATGGCTATTTTTTTTCTCTTAAAAATGAATGTAAAGTCTGAAAAATGTTCTGCAGGAGTTGACAACTTTGAAAGAATAAGCCGTTGAGTGTTTCTTTGTTTCTAGTACAGCGCAAAACGTATTACAAAAAATGTGTAATGTAATAAAAAAACTCGGTTTTCGGATATCTGATATTTTATATCATATAGAAAATGTGACAATTTTAAGAAAAAAATCTCCATCACTTCTAGAAACAATAATTATGCCACAAATTAACTCCGAACGAGATTGTCTGCTTCATTATCTATACCATCGGTATCACCTAGCCGGACGCCATCATCGTTGCAATCATCGGATGAGTCACTGTCATATGTAACATATCTCCTGCACTTCTAAAAATATCAGCTATAGAACAAAAATTGGCTTCTTGGTTCACTTATACAATGTCAACAATAAGAGGTTTTTCTACATCATCTCAATATCAACTCATCTCAATATTCAAATTATGAAAGTTTGATACGAACATTACCGTCATCATCGTCGTCACTACTCTACAGACATAATTGCCAGACAGTTTTACCAATTGTGAAACAGATAATATATTAAAGAAAGATCGATTTTCGGTAAGTACTCTTCTTTTAGGAAAAGTATTGGCTGTTGTTGTTCACAAGAGTGGGAAGGTCTGAAGAAAAAATTCAAAACTTGAAAATATCACTGGTTTTTGGCTCAGCTAAGATTTTTTCACCTCATCTTACAGTTAGTTTCGCTCGAAGAAAGCATTTTGAAACAAAACTCTGGATATAAAAGTTGTTCAGAATCGAATTCCAGAGTCCCTCACGAAATCTTTTTTCAAAATTTTCTTTTTTTGGTTTTTAAATTAAATTTTACGGTTTTTAAAATTTAAAATTTTGTACTTTTCAATTTAAAAACCTAAAAAGAACAATTTTAAAAAAAGCTCTTGTGAAGGACTCCGGAATTCGATTTTGAACAACTTTTATATCCAGAGTTTTGTTTTAAAATACTTGTAGCTCTAAAATTTCCTCGGGAAGGCGAAAGTTAAATTTCTGCGTTAAACTTCATTTGGGAACGATGAAAAGTTTTTCTCCTTACAAGTTAATGTTCTCTATCGAACTACGCTAGGATCAACTCTTCATATCAAAACCTGAAGTTTTTATTAAAATTTTAAAAATAGGACAGAAAACTCGAAAAAACCTTCAAAATTTTTTTATCAAAAACTACAAATCTGGAAACTTTGTTAAGACATATACTCCGAAGTGTCCTCTACAAACTGGTGAAAAATAACGAGTAGGGATCTCTTTTAAAGTCGACGAACAAAATGAAGCTACTGAATAAAATCCCATTTTGTCTATTTTACTTGACAGAAAAACTATATTCCTGATTTCTTTAGATGTCAAACAGCTGAAGAACGTGAACAAGAACAACAAACAGCAAATGGATTAGCGTGAATTTGTCAGCATCATAATACCAAGATCACTGCTAACATCTATGATTTAATGATACAAGATTCAACTTCCATTGAAACTATGAATAATCCAGTATGTTTATCCAGTTCATCATTGAATGCGTTACAAAATTTAAAACCATGGTCACCATCATTATCATCAAATACAACATCATCGTCACCAATGGCAAGTGAAGATGAAGACACGAATAAAGTAACTTCGCATAATCCAAATCTTATAACTAGGAGTACATCGGTTTTTTTTTCGTATTTTTCAAAAATTCATAATAAATGGTTTGTATTTTCGTAAAAACGAGTTGCAACATTTTTTTAAAACGGCAGTTTTGTAGAGAAAATATTTCTCTATAAGATGGTATATAGTAGTTAATTTTAAAGCTTTTTGTTTCCTTTTAGAAAGCGTTTTCCTCAAACCTACTGTCGGTTAAAACTGTCGGTTATTAACCGACCGTAGGTTTGAGGAAGACGCTTCTAAAAGGAAACAAAAAGCTTCTAAAATACCTTTTGTATACTGTCTTGTAGAGAAATTTTCTCTACAAAACTGCCGTTTCAAAAAAATGTTGCAACTCGTTTTTACGAAAATACAAACCATTTATTATGAATTTTTGAAAAATACGAAAAAACAACCGATGCACTCCTACTTACAACAAGGTAATCTCATTTTTCATTATCTAAAAAAATATCATTCCACACCCGATAAAAAATTATTGATCAAATTTGAGGACTTGTATGTTTTGCCCAATCTGTAGTATTCTCTCTATATAAGATAACAGAATAATTTATTTTAGAGGGAGAAAAGAATAAGATAACATGTTCAGTGTACATTTATTTATTGCACAGGTTTTGAGTTTTACTGTAAGAATTCTTCGTAAATAGTATTTTACACTGACATGAATATTAAACACAATACAACAGAGAGAGCAACCTTTAGACTTACAACCGTAGAACTTTTTTTGGAATTAAATTAATATTATATCAAGCTGTTTTACATAATGTTAACTAAGTTTTTGTGCTAAAACGTGTTCGGACGATTCAACGAGTCTGATTGAAAACAAATTTTTTGTCCACCACCGAAACTCATCTAAAAATGTACACTATTTCTCCATCATCAAAAGATTCGGAAAAAGAAGCAATTTTGATTTCGCAAAAGAATTCCTATCTGGATATTTTAGACTCCAGTCTTTTCTCTTTCTTCATTCAACTTTTTGTCCTTTTTATCACTGTCATAGCTCAAAAACTACTTGTTTCTACAGGAAACCTTTTCATTGTCACAAATATCAGCCTAAAGCTAGCTATAGCGAATGAAATGTAACAAGCTTTTTCAGTACTTTCCTCGATACTCGTTTATAAGGTAAGTTCATCAACCATCTTCTACTTTCAAACCCGACGTTAAAATTGCTGGGTATGTAACGCTCGTCACACGGAGTCGAATAGTAACAAGTTTGAAAATCTTTTAGCATTATTGTGGTTTGCGAGAGCTCACAAGTTATGAATTTTTTGTTGTTTCGGGTGAACTGATTGATTCAAAAGTCGAATGTTTTCCATGTAGTTTTACTCTAAAGTAGACTAATATATGTATGCATTTGATTGTTATCGTCATTTTCTATCGAATGACATTTGAATCAAACTGAAGAATAGCACCTGAAGAAGAATAAGATATACTATTCGAAAGCCCAGCACATCTAAACGTTGATAGATAGAGATGTCTGGTTTATGTAATTTACAAAGCACATGTTGCTCTGTCTAGGCATGTCTTTAGAACGAAAAGTGTACTGGGATCTTAGAAAAGTGTAGTTATCTGTATTTGATTCAGTGAACTATACCATGGTATATCTTGACTTCGAAAACGTTTTTAAATTTATGGATATACTTAACATTTTACTTAATCCGAACAGCAAAAATCCGAACGTTTTATCACTTTTCGTTGCCAGACTATTCGAAAAATGACCGACTGCACTATATTTTAAAATGGATTAGTGGTATAATAGAGAAATTATATAGAAATAATCATATCTTCAAAAAATAAAAAATAAATGTGTTCTATGTCTTTGTATTGTTTGCTGAATGACTAACAGTTTTATCACTTAATATTGAATTTATTTTCGAGAAATTTATGAATTTAATCTAGATAATTGAACATATTCCGTTTAATAATGAGGGGTATAGAGTTTTTTAAAAGCCTGGTGAATGAACTTCACAGACATCTACGTAACTGTAAGAATTCAAATGTAGTAAACTTTTGTTTCTAGTGTTTTACTTCAACTAGACATTCAACTTTTAAGGTAAATAAGAGTGATATATAATTATGTTTAACTTTTTAAAATGTGTATCTGCTATAGTTTAGAATCTATAATAGCAGCCACTTAACTTTATTGTATAATGAACAGTATGCTGTTGTATTGGTACTTATTTTTGTTTCTGTTTTTTTCTGTACCTCTGGACATTATCATAGACGCGATAACATTAATACGTTCAGATAAGGAATAGATGAATGATATTGGGAATTTATTTTATTTATTTCAGACAAATAAGATATGCATAGCAAAATTGAAACAGTTTTCTTCCAAAATTGAGAACAATAATTTAGCCTGATTTATTATACCATGTATACTACGAATGATAATGACTATATCTGTTGTTTTGAATAGAAAACAATAACAAACCAGCGGTATATCAACATCTTATATTATTTGTGTAGAAGAACGTCATTGTACTATTTAAATTCTTTTGTGAAGTTTATACGTATAATATAATATATTGAGCATTGATCGTATTCAATCAAAAAATCCTAATACATCATCGTCATTTTTACTTGTTGTAATTTTATTCATAGTAGTTGATAAGCGACTCTGTTGTTTCGTTTCACTAGGCGTTTGTGGTACCGAGCTAATTGAACTTTCACGTTTTTCAAGACGTGCAGGTGGACGTGGTGGTGTTGTTGGTGTAACAGGGATATTTTCAATTGAACGTCGTTTTGATAACAGTATATTTGAATTTAACTCAATTTCAATTTTTGATGGTCCAGCTGCAGTGGCTGTTGTTTGGATAGGAGTCACGGTCCTTTCTGATACTGATGATGTACTGTCAGCAGAGATTGATGGTGATCGCTGTCGAATATCTGTTCTGAATTGTGATTCCAATGTATTATCATGACCAGAATATGTTTCTACATTGGTTGAGGATACTTGGTTGCCACTATTTGTTTGACTAGGTTGTTGATCATTAACCATCTTGGCGACCGAACTTCGGCGTCTTGTTTTCTCAGTTACTCGTACTGAATCATGGTCAGTTGACGTAGTGGATGACGTTGAAACAGATTTGTATGATGAAACTGAACTATTTTCGCCATCTTCAGTTTCGGTTCTTCGACGAGCTAAAGAGAAAAGATAGAAATGAGCATAGTTACTAGAAAATTAAGTGAAAAGTCAAACCTGAGTGTCCATTTTCATCTGTCTTTCTCATGTGTGAAATAATGTTCGACACTTGAAAGTCTCTATAGGTTTTTTGATCAACGGATTTACTCGATAACCAACCATTACAAGGAATGTAGTACGTCATAAATCGAACGGGATCATCTATTGTTACTTCACCCAAATACCAAGAAGATCCTAAATAAAAAAAAGCTTTATTTATATTGTATTTACAACGCCTTTCAAATTCTTCTTATCAAGACAAGTCTTTTTTGATGTAGACTCTTGTACGGCTTAAGAAAATATAAGTCAACTCTACTCGATCATAGGATCAGGTCAGGATGAATTGCAGTTCTCTAGTTAGTAGGAGATTATAATAGTTAACATACTCATATCTTTTCGATCATGCCCAATAGTTATACCAACCAATTCACCAACATAATATGTTTTTACAGGAAAAATGTCGGTTTGTCCTTTAAGAAATGGGACTCGATGTGAATCGGATTGCGAAAGGTTGATAAATCCACTTGTTCCGTTTGTACCATATAACATTATTCTAATAGGTCCATCTGTTGACGCTTAAAACGTTGGAAAGAAAATGAATTTCAGCTTTATTTTTTTTCTACTTTTAACTAGTACCTCCATTGCATGATCCGGTTGTAATTGATATTTTATATTCACATAAATAACCTTTCGTTATACGAGTTGCATTTCTCATCTAAACATATAAATATGATACATTGTGTTTATGTTACATGGCGACACACTTATGCTACTAACTATTGAAGCTGCTTTAGCTAAAATATTTTCTGTGACTCTTTTCTTCTTATTCTTATTTTCTTTCCTTGTAATAGAATATTTATCAGCAGGTGGTGTTTCTGTTCGAAGTGAACCAACAGTTTCCCTTAAAAGAGAACAAGATCCAATGAGAAAATTATTTCAAATAATTAAAGTATATAGTTAGTTGTTAATCAGACATGTGCAGTAATGGTAAAAACGTGTTACCGTTACCGACGCTTCGGTAATAACTTCAAATTTTTACCGCGGTAATTTGAAACCAGTAAAAAATCTCAAAATTTTACCGCGGTAAACTTCGGTAAAAACGTTACCGACGGTAATTTCCCGATGACTACAGAGTTGTTAGTAATATATGAATTAAAATTAATTTACCAAAAAAAAATCGGTAAAAATAATTTTATTATCGTTGTCGGCTTACGGTAAAAACTTAAAAATTTGACCACCGTAAACTTCGGTAAAAAAATTCTTTACCATTACCTACGGTAAATTACCGTTACCGCTCATGCCTATTGTTAATATGTGCTTGACGCAGGGATACTCAGCTATGGGATTTCCTATAACAGCCTTTATAAATACTTAAGATTGAAATGTTTAAAGGCGATATGTATTATCGACAATTGTGTTTTGAAGATTCAGCTCGAACGTCTTACTTGTGCTGTCCCGAAATATCATTCAAATTCGTCTGGTTGATGACAGGATTGTCCTACATGATACACATGTAATTGATATATTTTTAAAAATAAAAATAAAAATTTTACCTTTTGAGATAGCGATGCTTCATAATACGCTCGACGACTTTTAACCATTGTCTTAATTAAAAGCAAATTATTTGAAATTCTCCTATCTGAGCATTAGAAGTTTTAGGAAAAATGTATAAGTTTACTGCTAATATATTTGCTGTATCGTCGACTAATTGATTTTGTTCAATGCGAGTTAGTTTGGAACCAGCGTTCGGTAACATACGCATAATATCTCGATTATTCACACAACTGGAATTTCTACAATAGAAGAAAATTTAATGCACTTTGTCATGTAAGAACAAATCTTTTCAATTTAATACGTACAAACTACAAGAAGAATTGGATCTCAAGGGTCTTAAACGAAGGTCAGCAAACTTTGGACTTTCAGACGGCTAAAAAAATATTCAATAAGATATTTATCTCTCATTCATCTTATGTATCCTATTATTTTTACCATAAAATTGTAGGCTTTCATATGAAAATTAAGTTCTTCTCGACACATTTTCTTTTCCGCTGCATTTTTTGACGCTAGCTAAAGAAATTTTAGAACATTAAATTAACAAGGAAAAAAAAATGAACCTAATGATTGAATATAATGTTCAGCTTACGCACACGTTGCGGTTTCCACGTTCTTAAGTGCGATTTAACATCATTATCACTGAAACATGAACCATAAAGAGGTGGATATTCTTTGGTAGTTCCATATATTGAACGCTAAGGAAATAAAGAGAATGTTTATGGAAATTTTTCTACATTTGAAAAACAAAATAACAAAATTGATCGTTACATTGATAGACACTATTCAACTAGCTTTTGCTGTTCTATGGGTGTACATGTAATAGTAAATAGCTGAATAATAACTGTCGCTCTTGACAACGGCTCATTTAATTCAACACTTATAAGGACTTTTTCTTCTCAAATAACTATCAATTATTAATATTAGGTAAACACCATGCGAATAGTCAAATTTATCAATATTGATAATATCTTCGGTACGAATTAGTTTTATAAAGTATGAGATTCTATCCTAAAGCGGTCATAAATTAATATGTTACATCTCATTTTACTGTCTGTTACCTACAGAATTTAAATTTATACAATACAAAATTACTTACAGCTCTCAATGGTAGACAATCATATTGACTATTTGGATTTAAAATAAACGCATTTTCTCTTCGTTTAACGTCAATGTAATACTTTCTTAAGATAGAAATAATAATACACGAAAAAACATTGTATATATTGAATAAAAAAAGTGTTCTTACAAATTTTTTGATGTTTCTTTAAGAACTGCATGAGTTAATCGATCCATCACCGGTATAGTGTTCACTTCCATCATTTTTCCAATAAATCTTGTTGTTCTAAGTATTTATTTTTAACTCTATGAAACAGTATCTATGTATTGTGTACGTATTCTTGATTATCTTTCATGTCATCTTATATAATCATGCAAATAACAGAAGAATAAAAAGCTTATTTTTCAATAATAAAATAGCTAAAATTTCTTTTTTCATCCAAAAAAAAAAAAAAAAAAATTGAAACTTCAAATCCGTATCGATGATTGATCAACTAATAATTCTCTCGCTGCTCAATCGATATTTCTTCTACATAATTCTAATTAATGTTGAAAGACTTCACTACCTATTTCTCTTGTTCTATTTAAAAATCTTGTACTTTTTTTTCATTTTCAATCTCGAGTTTTGTTTGCGTCTGCATTAAAGTTTTCCTTTTTCTCCTTCGTTATTTATTATGTTTGACAAATTTTCTCTTTTTTTTCGTTGCGTTCTTTATACTGGAGTTTTTTTTCTATTTATAACAAAAAAAAAATACTACACAACTGTTGTAATAAAAGAAAGACAGCAAAAACACATATACACACACAATTGTTACCTTAGATATGACGTACGGAATGTATGTTCAGGTTTAGTTTGTTTTTACTTTCACACGTAGCATATGATAAAAAGTAGTTCATTTGACAACTTAAGAAAAAAATACATAGTTTTTAATGAACAATGAGATTTTTCAAAAAATAAAAAAAAGAGTACACAATGTTTAAATTTGTTCGACATGATGTACATCGACAAGACAAAAATCAGAAGAGAGTCGAGAAAATTTTCAAATTGATTGTTTAAGTAACGGTTTTGAATCCGATTCATGAAACAAGTGGACGAAAGCAAAAAGAATCGTACAGCAGAAACGATGTGTCTAATGGCTAAATATGTACTATTTGTTACAGCAATACCACTTACGTTATTTCAATATACATTCAGTTCCCATTTTCTAAATATGGATACATTCTACCTACTAACAACAGAGTTGTACTGGAATAACATTACACTTGAAATACTCGAATACTTTGAATGTGAGCAAAAAAAATTCGAGTAAAATGACTTTTAGCAAAAGAAAATGAGAAAAAACATTTTGAGCAAAAAGTTAATTAAGCAACAAGAGTTTGAGCAAAATTACTGTTAGCAAAAAAGTGATGAGCAAAACAGAAGGTGAGCAAAAAAGTGAATAACAAATTATATGTATATCATTTTTATAATAGAACTGTAGCCATTTTTCCCAACAGTTGATAAGTATTGCTCGATACGTCATCATTTAGTGAAAGATGACATATCATGTTATGGAAGAAAACGATGCTGAAACAAAACTAAAGACTCAACCTTCCCAATAGTATTGATGAGTTAATATGAAATTATTAATGAGTTGAAATTAAATCAATTTAAAAAGTTGAAATGGATTTTTTGCTAGCTATATCATTCACCCTTAGTAAATCAAAGAATGAATGATACACAACAAATTGAAAACTGTCCTTTCTGTGTTTTCTCTTTTTTTCTTCCAATGTACTTTTCATTTTTGTTCAAAATAAAAATTTGCTGAAAGAAATTTTGCTCATTTTCTAGTTGCTCAAAACAGATTTGCTCATCTTCCGTTTGCTTAACTAATTTTTTGTTCAAAATAAATTTTCTCATAATTTTTTTCCTCATATTCGAGGTTACCGAAATACTCATACATGCGGGAAAGAGTAACCAGAAGAAAGAAAACATTTCATTTCGAAGTTAATTCATAACCGAGATGTAATGATGTAGCACTGAGTACCTTTTTGTCTTTGACACGCGGACAATAGCTAATAACACATTCGTTTTATTTTGTTATTTACAACGGAACTATGGAAGTTGGTTTTTTTTAAAAATATTAGCACAAAAAAAGCTTTTGCAAATGCCATCAAACAACTGATTAGTGAGATGAACATTGAAAGTATAGTACAATCATTTGAAGAAAATCTTTGAATAGTATCACCAACGAGAGCCATGTACATGTAGTATATGACTTGGTTGCTGGCAGAAACGAATATTATACAATCAATTTTATTAAAAATGTTATTTCTTTGTTTAGTAAGATTAGCCTTTGGTATAAATATGTTCAAATACTTGAGAATGTTTTATTTTGCATTGAAAAACGAAAATTATTCTAATACAATTATCTTCTACGCATTGAAAATCGAAATATTTTCTTGAATATCCTAAATTTTTTTAAAGAACAAATTTTAAAAAACAACACGTAAGAAAATATTAACATTTTCCTTTATCACGTTTAGAAGAAAAAAAAATGGTTTTATCAACGATATTCATGTGAATAATCATTTTTCGACTTTCGTTTTGGATTAGTTGAATACCAAAGTGAAGAATGACGTTTTTTTAGAAGATAAAGGAGAATGCTGTTTGTGGCTGTTATTCTTCTGAGGTAAATGCTTTTTCTTGATGTGTTGAGAAGGCAGATTTCTCGTACGATGAATTAATGAATGTGGCGAACGATTACGTTGTCTAGAAGAAGATTATTGTTTCTCAGTTTAATAATTCTCTTTGTTGTTGTTGTTGTTCATATTTCCACATCGATTTGGCAACTGACTTATTAAAATCGACCCTTAGTCGAATTGTTAGAATAAATTAGGATCGATTCGACTATTATCAATCAAAACATTATCCATTGAAATAGGCTCGTGTAAATTCATCCTGGTTTTTATTTTTAATAAATACATAATGTGTAGTCGTTTATCTTCTATTTTGTCTCACATAACTTCATAAATTAAAATTTTATCGAGAAAGCATTGTTTGTAAAACTTCATTACTTATTTTTATTTTACTTACAAATAAAAGATTTTCTAATAGCTTCCAGACAAAATCATCAATATTAAAATTTGTGTACGTGCTGATGCTTTTTTTCGACAATGTAGACTTTAATATTAGCGTTTATTTTATCTTTATCAAATAATTTATTAAAACTAATCATCAATAATTTTACACATTCCAATGTGGATAACGGTGAAAGAGGCATATTTTGATATTGCTGTTGATATTGGTTCATTCGAACAACAAAAAACTTTTTTTATTTTCACAACAACGACATAAGATTAAATGCAAAAGAATATCTATTCATACGTCAGCTTGTTGAGTAGACTTTTCTCAATATATCACAAATGTATTTCATTAAGAAAACTTGGTTTTTGTTAAAAAGTTGAATATTTATTTATTTTACATTTTTCCAGCGAAGAAGTGTTGAATAAATTGATAATTAGCTATTAATCTTATATCCTTTAATTCATTCCTATACTCCATTTTATAGAAAAATGTTTGTTCTAAACTCCGTTACATTCGAAACATCTGTAGAATTGCATATCGTAAGTTCATTCATGGACAAGAACACGTTTTAAGAGAAATTTCGAGCTTTTAATGGTGTGTTCGTCATGTTACACAGATAAGTAATAAAGAATTCCTGAGCACACACATATTTGGAATGAGCGCAAAATTCTGATATAAGTACTCTTGTTTCAAAACGTTCAAAAAGTTTTTATGTTAGAGAAAAGTAACAACATATTTTATGCATGATTTGGTATTACCTGTTATGGTCGATATTCTTTATTGAAAATAGCTGCATATCAAATTTTGTATGAATATTATCCAATAAAATTAATTCAAATAGAAATGCAAGAAAAAATTATGAACTATATTGATTAAATTTATTATTTGTCATTAATATGCACTGATATTTAATATGTTTTATCAATAGTTTTCGCTCTATATCAAAATAATCGACCATGAATGAAATAAATAAAGTTATAATACATCATTTTGCATAGTTGAAGAAAACTTTTTATCACCAATTAGTGAAAGTCATGAAAACATTTTCTGTTCTCTATTAGACTACGATGATACGTAATAAAAAATATCTATGAATGAAGTACTACAGTTTAGCCGTCCAGGTGGAAAGAAAAAAATATTTTTAATAAGCTGTTTCAAGAAACATCTATCAGTTAAAATAGTAATAGTTTTTCTTTGTTTATAACTTGTATTTCTATCTTAACAAGCAACAATACATCTCTATAATGTTCGAAAAAAAGTTTATTTGTTGTGTGCATCCGTTTATTTTTATTTTATTCTTTTTTTGGTTACTTTTTTAGTCAAATAGTACTCTATTAGTATATACATCTTACAATAACAAACACAAGGAAAAAAAAGTCAAAAAACAACAGATAAAAAGATGATGCAATGTGTGACAAAGAAACAGGGAAATAACGCGCGAATCTGAAATTCATAGGCAACCGCCACGAGAAACAAAAAATAACAAAAAAAATAGACAACCTAGTTCATGTTTCGAACTAGATCTATGTGATTAAATTAGAAGACCATGAAAGCAAAAAGAGAGGAAGCAACAAATAAGCGATACACACACACACACATACGTACAAAACATATTAAGTTATTTTTAAGACGGGCGCACAAAATTTTTTGTTTTATTTTTTTAACGTGTGCAGATACTCTGTACAAGAGAGAAGAAAAAAAACCAAAAAATCAATGAAAAAACAAACAAACGTAGTAGACTGCATAACACAAGACCGCAGTATATTGTGTTATATCTCTTGCACTAAATAAAACAGACAAACAAATAGCAAAAATGAACAAGAAAACACGATAATATTAAAATAACCATAGTTTATTAACATACGAGTAGTATATGACGTTTAAGTTTTAGTATTTAGCTTAATAGCTAATGTATGGTTATTTAATATTGTTCGAGTATTTAATTTTTGTTTACCATGTATTTCATCATCATCACACATATCATGTGGAGGGGAACGAACTGGCGTTGTTGATATTAAAGGTAATGAATTTCGACGATAATTATTGTTATCAGATTCTGTTCCTAAATCAATATGCCGCTGTTGTCGCGATATCAACGTCGATTCGTCATTGGTCATATTAGTAGACGTAAAAGTTGCTGTACGTGGAGACATCGAATCAGTTTGTGATCTTTGACGTTGTATTGTTGATGAAATGGACGGTTGATTTTCACCTGAACTATCATTTGAATTTTGACTAATGAATGTTCGATGAGGAGAAGGATACATTGACGGTTGACCTACTATCTTAAATGACACAATAAGGTGTTATTACAGAATAAAACAGAGATGTAACGATTTAGAACATTATTACACATACTTACTTTATTTGTTACTACATGCCCATTTTCTAAAATGGATTGTTGCTCTTTCATTGTTTTTTTCGTTAGATGATTACTTGCATCACTCGTCCATGCTGCTTTATCATCATTTGATGGTGTAACATGTTCGTCATCTTCAATCAGGGATAATTTACGCTTTTTATTATCAGACGATGAGATGTCATGAGAAATAGTTTGTTGATCATCTTGTAAATCCTCACTCATTGTTATATCATTATGAATTACTTGTCGCGTTGTTATTGGTGTTGTGGTGTTAGTGGATACGGACATTGCTGTCGATAATGGAATCGATATTGGTTGTCGCATTGTTATTGGTGTCGATAATGGCGTTGAGTCGGTTTTTGGACTTTGAACCTTGCATGGTTCTTGATCTTGTACTTTCGTGTGAGTGTCATCAGGTGCTGGCGAACCAGAAGATCCATTCATTTCGACGGATGGTATTGTTGTTAGTGGTGGTGGTTGTAATGGTGATGAGCATGGTGATTGTGTACGAGGACCATCTATTTTTGCTGTAGCTGTAGTATCATTTATCTCGTGCGGAAGTGAAACATTCTTGAGCTTTGTTTTTGAATTTGATGGTTTTAATATGCCATGTGGTAAAACTGTATGTAAATCACGTTTACGTATATATCTAAACAGAAACAAAAGGCATAACTGAAAAAAACAGATATCAGTTCAACATACCGTGCATCCAAAATTATATTATCGCGTGACATTAAACTAGAATTTGCTGCTTTATAAACAACAGTTGTAAAACTACGTATTTCGTCAGTCAAATCTAGTTGTACACGATCAACATTTTTAAATTGTAGTCCAACAACCCACATACGAGTAAAATTTGTTACAGACGGCACTGAAGATGGAGATTTTCCAGCATCTAAACAAAATTGATTTCAAACTTACGAAGATGGGTAAGTATAAAGAATACTAATATTTAGAAGATACTCATACTGTGAATTTACTTTTACAATAGTACTGGAGTACATCTTTCAAAGAATATTTGTTCGAAATTTAACGATTTTCAGATAAATTTTTATTCCGTATATAAAATGAGCTTTATTTACACGTTAAACGAGTATTTCGAACAAGATTTTTGAAATTTCAATTCATACTACTATTGTAGGGAAATAAAATATGAAGAAATTTTTGAGATTCTTCTCAATTAAACCGAAAAAGAACTTCACGAAAATCTCCATGAATTATTAGTGGTAACTCACAATAGTATTGCCTTATCATCTCTATCTATAAAAAAACCATCTTAGTATTTTTAGGAAAAATTCCTACGATTACTTAGGGAAGTTTTAAGAAATTCTGCATTTCTGACTTTTTATCTTAATTACCCTCTGCCATTGTTGCGGCATCCGTAACCGCGGGCGTCGATGTGTGATTAGAAGATGCTTGTTGTTGCTTCGATTGTTCAAATACACTTTCAGACGGCTTAAATTGTTCACTGCATACATGTGCAATATCAATGTATGGGTTACGTTCTAAATGTGTAATGAGAATTCGAATTTTTGCTTCAACTAATCCACTCCATTCCAGAAATTGACTTTGATCAGGTGCACTTAATAGCAGAATAATATAATGTTTATAACGTTGAAAAAAATCTAAACCTATAAATAATTCTTTCCATTCTAATTTATTATTCATGATATCGGTGACCGTTTTTAAACCACGTTGTATTTCACTAACAATAATTTTTTGTGTTGATAATGAAACATTATGTGTTGAATTTTGTTGCGGATATGCTGGTGTAATGATGGGCATCAAATGATAACGGTCTGCAACATTTGATGTGGGATCCCATATTGGAAATCCAAGTCGTGCGTCCTTTACAGATTTTAACAGAACAGGTGATGGCCATTCCCAACGTGAAAAGACGAGGAAAAATTTATTTACAAGTGTAGCTGAAATAAAAATGAAGGAAACAATTACGACACAAGAAGAACTGTAGATCATTATTTTAGCATGAAAATATTAAAAAGTAGTCTGATACTGAAATTACGGCTACTATACTTTAAACAGAGACCATGCCCATATATTATATTCAAACTTGCCTGCAACTGCGTTTGGATATAACTGGCACACGCGTGCTACCAACATCGCCCAAGTAACGCCGCCAAAAAACCCTAATGCATTACTATAGAGTCCATTTCGTTTAGCCCATAGTTTGATGGCTCTTAATGTAGCTCTAAATATTTCACGATTCGGTACTAAATCTAATATTTCATCTGTGACGCGACATCCATTTAAACTTCGTGCACAACGTGGATCCAAATTTCTTAATATTTGATCATCCTTTAAATCTAAACTATTTGAAATACTGGCTTCAGATAATCGTGCAAATAGCATGTCCAGTTCAATACCATCATACGTCATTTTTATAACTGGTACATATGCATCCTCCACACAACGAAAATCACGTACTACCGGTAGGCGACGTAATTTCTCTGCAAATGATTGAAAAAAATCTATTCGTTCAATATGTCTTGGTGCTAAAATAGCAGAGTAAATAATGGTGAGATGAGATTGAATAAACAAAAAAAAGAGTTACTTACCAATCAATAATGTGTCAATATCCCCTCCTTTCGAATGTACTCCAAGACGATATGATCCAAAAGTACATACGCGGCCTCCTACTGTGTTAGCTATTTCTGGTGAAATATTTTTAGTCAGTGAAGCACTACGTATCCATTCTTCGACCAATGCATTTATTTCTGTCATAACTCGAATACGATGTGATGATTCGATGTCGGATTCAAAATAACCACAGTCTTTTAACGTTTCTTCAAGCTTGCGTGTCAACTCATAATCATTAGGATCTGGACCACGAAGAGAAATTGGTTCCGTGACACCGTAAGAGCGTACCGGTAACTGCTGTTGTGATGACGACATGATTGTAAGAAAGTAACTAGTAGAATAAGTAATATAAGAAATACTAAACTTCTAATAAACTGGAAGAACGATTGTCAAAATCTTGTGTGTATTTGTATTACACAAGATTTTCTATAATAGTTAATCGTAAATCATTCGAATAACTACGGAAATTTAATGACGTTGATAAGATAACACAAAACGTAGTCAATTCTACTATGGTAAATCTGAAAGATAAACAAAAACCTATGCAATTAAAATAAATTTTAAATCGTAAAGGTCAATAAAAAACACAGATTTCAAATGATACTTGCCCAAATGATTCAGTCTTTAAAATTTTCTCAAGAGATATGCGCGGGATATCTTGCAAACAAACTAAACAATTATCTGCCCAAGATGGAAACAAAATGTTAAACAGTCCATAGATTACCTAGGCTAGAAAATTTGTCCTTGCATGTGACGCTCATAAAGGTCTCCCGAATTCTTGATGATTGATAATCAAAATGGGTTTCCGCTTAGAAAAGTTGACTTTCACTTCGATTTTAGCATGAAGGACGTGAAATATGCGTTGTCACATCCACTTTACTCAAAATTCTAGCCAAAAACCCTGAAATTTTTCATGATTAGGTTTTTTCTCGCTAGACAGGAGAGATTTCATCTGTTGATTATTCTTCTACAGCTGCAAAAATGTTTTGATTATTTTTCTAAGTAGAGCTTTCCTTTAAGATCTTTTCTTTCAAACTACAATCGACTTTTAAGATTCGTTCGTATAGCATTTATTCCTCGTTCGAAACATACGCGCACATATCTTCTTATTTTAAGTTTTTCGAGAGAATTTAGCAAAAATAAGCCAACGAACGAACGAACAAACATTAAATGAAATGACGACGATTGATCAAAAGAGGCAATAACAACACGCGATAACTACCGCTTCTGTAACTTAACCAATGAAATTTGAATTCAAAGCCACTACGTAGATGAAACCGTTTTTGTTCTCAATATTGTAAGCTTTAATGCACTTCATTCAGTCGAAAACTGATGAAAAATAGAAATATGAGTTTATCAGACTGATTTAATGCTGTTATTCTCACAATTTTTGTTTGTATTGATCCATTTTGTTGATTCATGAACGTCGTTTCAACACTTCTGCAGTGCGATTCTTAGCGACTATAATTAACCAAAGGAGAGTCTAATAAGCAGAAGGGATTATATTTTTTCAACGATGCTTATAATGAAACCTGGATCTATTTTGTGTTTGGCAAATGTCAAAGAGGAATACTGTTCTGCTTTTGCCTCTCAGAAAAGCTGTTTTCGAATATTTCAGAATTCATCGTTCCTCATATCGAATTTACGCGAGAACTTTACAATCAAAATCTCATAAGGCTTTTGCGCTGAGTACAAGTTCCCACCACCAATTACTAGCTAATCGAAACATGTAATGCAGACCAGTATTCACAAATTTCTATTTACTTCTTTGCTCTTCTCACAAAAGAGGAATATACCATTCTCGGTTCACTTGAATGCACGACATGTTTTCTAGTAGCCAATTACGACTTTTCTTAACAACATAAAAAATAACTGTTTTGTAGATTTGTTATCACCAAAATAGAAAACTAATGATTCCCCAGGAACTTCGGCTAAACATTTTCGGAAAGAGTTATCGAAAGAGAGCATAATTTCTGTAATCGAGATTAGCTTTTAATAGAACTTTTTGTCATATGAATTTTTCCACTGTGTTATCAATGTCACAGTAGAGTTCATAGTGAATTACAATGTCAAGTCAACGTCTGCACTGTGCTATTAAAAACATTGATCGAGATTGAAAGAATTCTTGGACAAAAGAACTCGTTGCAAGTGGCAACTTTGTCTTTTTTATTAAATAAATTACTCTTCCTACACTTAGTCTATTTGATTACCAGATTTTTCGACTTCATCCAACATATAGTTCGAGAGTTGAGTTATCTAAAGCTATTTGGTAGGTTAATCTTTTGAATAAATGTTAAATATATGAACTAATTCAAGTATACAATATAGATTACTCAGTGGTGGTCCAAAACACTGGACAACAATTTTTTCGAGCACGGAATTATATTAAAAAGAGCACGGTTCTAATTGAAAGAGAACGCACCCCTCACGCTTCTGATTAAAAATAAAACGTTTTAGCCAAAGAATCGTATGTACTAATGCGGATTTCTAGTAGTATACTAGGCTCCTTCAATGTTGATAAGAGAGAGGGAACAAGAAAATCACGGATAAGAAGTTCATTTTATTGCTCGAATCTGATAATCACAATTAGGATATTTCTTATATGATGAACATCTATAAGTCCACCTCCTTCCATTGGATGTCTGTTCTGTGCGAAATTTTGATACAGAATTTTCTTTCAAAGATTCATCTAATGTACCAATGTTTGTAAAGTTTCCATCAAAGGTCTATGTTTTACGCGAAATGGGGAGAACACAGTGAAAGTTATATGCGGACGATGTACAGGCCTATTTATACCTATTTATAGTGGAAAAGTCTTTTTACTTTTTAACACATAATCAAACGTTCAACAGCTAGATCTTTCGATATATCCTTGTTTAATTTTTTGATGTGATATAAACAAACAACATCAACTCTAGAGATGGTAATCTCTTTTCAGTGATCAGAGACTCTGTTCTCTAATAAATTACTTTTCCGCGCTCTAAACAATCAAAGATCGTGCTCTTTTCAATCATAAAAATTTTCCATTCTCAGAAAAATTAGAATCGTATTCTTTTCAATCTAATTTAGTGCTCAATAAAACTTTTATCGCAGAACACTTCCTGGATATTTCAAAAAATATTCGTACTAATCACTGTTAAATATTTTCTTTCTAGAACTTACAATCATGTAAAATTAATATCGAACCGTTTTGTTGTTATAATCAAACGAATTTGTCGTTGGAATTTGTTAAAGCCCTGTTATTGGAATGTGTAGCAAAATAATCTAGTATACAATATATTCTGGCGTATGTATAGAGTTATTTTATATTATCTGAAATGTTCACATTTTGCAGTGTATCTTGCTGCATGTTTTGCTATTATCTCAAAGATGAATTATTCCTTCACTTTTCTAAAATTTTCGAAGTAATAGTCTATTTCTTGCATGAAAGAGTACACAATATTAATCGATCTAACATAAAGTACGATCTTTCAACTGTCAGAGAGAACTTCAGATGGTTGAGAAAAGTGTTTACGTTTTGTATCACTGAGAAGATGAACAAATAATATTCTAATTGTCTAACTTTACTTCCTGCTCTGCTGTAAAAAAAATATCGAAAAAATCACCAAAATACCAATGGTACTTTTTTCTTCTAATATACGGTAAAGGTATGATACTGTTGTTAATGCGGCGATGTGTTTATTAAAAGAATTTTTATTCTTACGGTACATTGTACGAGATAAATAGTAGAAGACCGAAGAACAGGAAAACTAAAATAAATTTTGTTTTTTTTCTATTGTTTTTAAACAAAGACGACAAATTTTAACGACAACAGGAACAATGAAAAAAATATTTTTTATGCACGAAAGAAGTCTACTATAAATACAGCATGGATAAACATATAATATTTTTATTTAAAATCATTAAAGAAAAGAATGATTAATAGCAATTGTCGTATGTAAGCCACAACTGAATGCCGCAGTTAAGTCAATAGTAGTTGTGGTCTGTCCTAATACTCAAACCCGAAAGAACCATCAAAAGCCATCAAAAGTGAAAACGAAAGAAAAAGATTACAAAATCACTTGACATCTTTAGTGAAGTTTCCGTTTCTGCTTTCATCCTCCAATCTCCTACATATGAGTCATCCGCATGTTCTTTGTTTACGCTAAAAATACTCAGTAATTTTATCTGTTTAGTTCATTCCACCTTGAAAATAATCATTAATTGAACGAAAGCATTAAATATAGTTTAAAATAAAATTTTAGACACTGTTTCTTCTGTTTGTAAACAAATGCTTTTGGGATTTATACGGCTTCAAATAGATTGAAACGATTTGACATCGGGACGATCTCACTCATCGCTACTGTCTTGAATTGAGATGTTAATAAAAACAAGGCACATTTTCACCGTAATACTGTTATACTTTTTGCATAGTATTGTTACACATGCACTGTAACATTTACAGTGTGCTCTGTTCTTGTCTGTCTTACCATATTTCTAGAAATTGCTCTTCAACCAGGTCTTCTAACGGTTGTGAAGATTTTGGATGGTGTCTCTGTACATAACGATCCATTCAAGTCTACATACTCTTAACAGCATGAATATTAGAGTAAACCACTAGATAATTATCTATATAGGTTATATTATTACGAGGTATTCAGTCACTTCTCAATGTTAGTTGCTGTTATCTACAAACACTGATGATTAGACAAGTGCATCAAAACAAATTGAAACTTACAATGTTAGACAATAAAACAGGAAGTAACGTTGAAAAGTGACTGAATATCTCGTAATAATATAACCTACATAGATAATTATCTAGTAGTTTACTCTAATTTTCATGCTGTTGAGAGTCTGTAGACTTGTGTGGATCGTTATGTACAAAGACATCATCCAAATTCTCAACAACCGTTTGAAGATCTGGTTGAAGAAAAATGAAATGCGATTTCTAGAAATGTGGTACATGGAGGCATAAACAATAGGCAAAATACTTTACAGTAAATAATTGTAATTCAAAGCTTCAGGTAATTATCAGTATCCACATTTTCCGTCTCAGGACTGACTTTACGTTTACCGAATGATGTAGAGAAAGTAAAAAGAGTCAAATTTAAAAAGGTGACTTTTGTAGCAAACTTTTCAACTAAATGTAGTCATAAAAATTCTTTTCATAGAGAAACCACATACTCATCTTTCTACTTTAATAGAGATTTAAAATTTTTAAAAAAGCAGTGACTAGGAATGCACTACTACTTGAAAAGTAGACGTTGTCAAAATGTCCAACTAGCTTTTATAAATTGCTAACATATTACGACATTATTTTTCACTCTAAGACATGGGTTTGTGACACAAAAAAAAGCTTAGCTTTTGTGACTGACGTGGTTTTAAAACTAAGTTCAATCAAACTAATTATTGATCTAAATAATTATATTTATTAGAAAACACACTACATAACCTATTCTCATGTCTTGTTATCTGACTATACGAATAGTATCAATTCATGCTATATTTTAAAGAAAATTTGACCTCTTGTTTGGTAAGATACAACAGTATTTTATTATTTTTATATAGATGCATTATTATTGTTGTATATATATATATATATATCTAACGTTCGAAACTAAAAATTTTTAAATTTATTTTTGCTTTCTCTTTCTCCAACTGACATTCGTTTTTCTATACAAAAAACATAAAAATTTTGAGTTTTCACATGTGTCTGTTTATATTTATTCACCTATACAACGGTCTCGAATGTTGATTTGTTGATTATGATTAAACGTGTATATATGATGATAGTTTATTTTTGATTGGTTTTCTATTGACTTAAATTTATAATAAGGTTGAATATTAAGTGAAAAAAAAATATTCGAACTGTACAACACCGTGTAAGTTTAATATATTTCCTTCAAAATTAGAGTATTTCAATCAAAGAGAAAAAACAGTTGTGTTAGTGCTGAAAAAGTGCTGACAAGTGCTACACTAAAAAAAATGTTTTTTCTCCTTGATTTCAATAAAAAAATCATTTGATACCATTAATTGTGAGAATAATTAACGCAGCAGAAATACAATGGAGAATGAAAATAATAATAAAAAATGACAGATAGAATTTAGTAAAGAATTTTGAAATAGAAGTAGTTTTTTAAATTGAAGCTGAATCGATTTCTATTAATTAGAAGAGAAGCCAAAAATTTTGTATGTGTATTGAAATAACTTCTTCTTTTTTTTTTGTTATGTGTATTTATATGCTAAAATTGTCGCAATTGTTTAAAAACAATCAAAATATAGAATAGAATAAAAAATAAAATTATTTTTGTGTACTTTTTATTACATTTAGCTCGAATGTAGGACATAGATATAATATCTTTCTGATATTAGAAACTTTATATTACAAATTCTGATCATTAGCTGAGGTGTTTCTATAAACTATTGATATCATTTGAAATATTTTAGCTTGTTGACATCACTGAATAGTTGTGATTGTAATCGAACACATGAATGATAGTCTGTTTTTTCCATTTGCTATGGTTCTAATCTAAACAATGGACGTTGTCAGTTATTTTAATTTCTAAAGAAAAATAAACAAATAGAAATCCTTTAAGGATTAAGTAGAAACATTTGTCATTAACTTTTTTCTTTGGTCAAAATTATCAGCAGATGAATAATGTATTTATTGTATTTATGATAATCGACAGTATGGATATCTTTCGTCGCTAAGGATAATCTAGCAAACTGATGAAAAAAGATGGCATTTCGCTAAATGTTTCAAAGAAATTATATAGACATTAGTAGTTAGTTGGTTTTTCTATTGTTTTTTTAGCTCTATTGTAGACGTTCTCACTAAGACAATAGAAAAAAATTGATAAACTTAGCAGTGAAATAATAAATTAGATTTGAAATTTTTGCCTAGTACCAGTTTTTCTTTCTATTAATTAATTTTTTTTTTGAAAGAAAAGATCTTGCTTATCGTTGGTTATCTCAACACTAATTAAGATGAATAAATCTCTAGCTAATTCTGTCTAAAACTGAACAAAACATCTGTTTTTTATCATTCCAGTACATTACTGATTGACTTTTTTCGTTAGAAGAACAGTTGTTTCATTTGTGTACTTTTTTTTATTGTTACAAAAAAACTGAAATGGTTGACGATGTGGTTGTCTTTATTAAATTTTTGTAAAAAAAGAAAACAAGAATAGAATTATATAAAGAAATTCTTCTTTACACAGATCATCTAAACACACAGTTCAGATGATAATAGCTGAAAAACAAGTGCAAATCGATGAATCCAAGAAGATCTGACTACTTAAATCACATCCATATCTCCAAATTTTTTTTCCTAGAGTTTTCCAACAAACACTTTGTCTAAAAGACGTTTTAACTTTTTGTCGGTGGCGAATTAACGCGTAGTGATTACAATATCGAGAAAATAAATGTTCTAGATTGGTAAATTAAAAAAACCAACAACATGACAATGAGTTGGTGATTCGTGTAATAATCTTCTTTTTTTTTTTTTATATTTGCTTCGATAAATCTGCATTGAAGTAACTAAAGTATCTCTTTAGGAAAAAAATAATTCATAAAACAATGATATTGTCCTTGTGTGTATGAATGAGGAAATAAGATATGAACAAAATAGATACGTTTCTGCGGGTTAATCATAAATAATGATGTTTTTTCTCGCTCAAAATTTATCTATCGTAAATAATGTAAAATATTTTTAATGTATGTGTTTGTACATAGCTTATAGGAGAATATTCACCTTGAGTATCTGTATGTGTGGAGGCCTACTGATATATATATATATATATAAAAGAAACAAAATCACCCTCTTCATTCCATTATACACATATAGACAAATATTTTCCATATTTTGTTTTTATGCCTAATAGAACAACTTTATTTTTATTTTTATATCTTCTATTCTTGCTATATTAGTGATGGTAAAGAATAAGTTATTTAAAATGTTCAATGTCAGATAGTTTTATTTCTGAAAAAATAAGTAATTAAAGAAAAAATATTAAGAATGTCCACGACAAAGAGACATCAACTAACAAAATCAGACATTTTAAATAAAACAGATCAATCCATATATGAAAAGGTATACGCACTACTTTAATTACTATGTGAAGATAGATCTTTGTCGGAATGTCAACTTTTTCGTTATCACTATCTGTTAAAGAATTTATGTTGAATATGAGACGCCTAGCCATTTATTGTATTTGTTTGAAAGGGAAAATAATTTTCTTTCTGTTAAATTCTACTGTCTCACAGTCACTAAGTGGAACATCAGATTTATTAATTATTAGTCGTATGCATGTAAAACAATCAAACTTTTCTCATTTTTTTAGCCCCCATCAATAGATCGACAATCACAATCATCTATCATATCAACATTTTCGAGTGAAAATAATTCTAATCTATCAGACAAAGTTCAACTAATAGATTCTCCTAAATTTGATAAAGAATTGTCTGATTTAACAATGGTTGGTGGTGGTAAACCAACGCATGAAGAAACATTAACCAGTTGTAAAGCAACAGCCATGGTTTATAATGATCAACAAAAAAAATGGTTAACATGTGCTACAACGTCGAATGGTCCAGCAAAAGTTCAATTATTATATTCTCAAGATGCAAATACATATCGTATTGTTGGTAGACAAATTCAAGATCATGAAGTTGTTTTAAATCATATGATAACAAAGGGAATTAAATGTAATCGTGCAACACCAACATTTCTTCAATGGCGTGATCAATCATCTGTTTATGGTTTAAATTTTATGACTAAAATAGAAGCAGATGAATTTGGTGCATGTATGAGTAAAATTTTAGAAACTGTCAACAATAATAATATATCAATGATACCAATAGAAATTATTCATAATAATAATATTAATAATAATAATAGTTTATCTTCTCTTCCTATTTCTTCTCCTTCCTTTCCAACATCAACAATTTCTCGCAATTCTACAAATACAAATATAAATACACGACAGTTAAATCAGTTACCCAGCACGTCCTCAAGCACTTCTTCTCCTACTACTCCATCTTTACACGATGACAAAAATAAACAACAATCATTTTTAAATAATAATTTAAACGAACAGCAACAACATTGCGGTACACATCCACGTCAAACTTCAAATTTATCATCAGCAGGTACAACGTATTATGCACCAAATACACAGCAACAACAACAACAACAACAACAGCAACAATATACAACAATAAATAATTATATTTCACCTCCAGGAAATCATAATTCGTTAAATGATGAAGATGAAACTAATAATCATTATGCGTTAATATCAGATTCATACTCTTTTACAGATACTTATAATACTAATAATCGAACAAATAATAATACACTTCAAAGACCCTCATCACCACAAAAAATGGCTGCTGCTCCTCCACCTCCACCACCACCGCCTCCAGGTGGCCTTTTCGCAATACCAGCAAAAGATCAACAATCTTTATTGAATCCAAATACCAGCAATACGGCTATACGTAAAACAACTACATCGACAACTCCGCCAACCATGGATCTAATGACAGAAATGCAACAGAAAATCGCTCAACGTCGACGACGAGTAGGCGATACTGATCATACTAGTGGTGATCATACGGGTGCTGAATCACCATCTACAGGAAAAGCAAATACATTAAAACCATCAACACCTTCAAGTATACAAAATTCTACAATTGTTCCTACGTCTCCTCGAGTTACAAGAAAGACTGAATTAACATCCACAGGACAAGCAAATTTAACATCGAATGATGTTGAAAAATTGAAACAGGACATATTAATTGAAGTACGCAAAGAAATTGATAAAGCTAAACAAGAAATAATTCAAGTCATTATAGAAAATTTTAAAAAATAATTTCATTTTAGTGATCTCTATCACATTTGAACGAAAGATCGAAGACATTTGAAATTGATGATCAACATGTGAATCTCTCATTTAAAATTAAAAATATGAATCTACTTTGTGTTCACTTTTTTCTCTCATTACCTTTTCTTGATACGTTTATTATATAACTTAATATTTTTCTATATAAGAGTTTTTTTTTTTATTTGGGTTCTTGTATAATGAACTATTTTTTTTCTTCATATAGTAGATTTACTACTACTATAGCTACTTTGAAATAAACAAAAAAAAATGAATTTTTTTTGTACCTATACTCTGTTTTTTTTCTCTTAATAATAATTTTGTTTTCTTCTAAAAAATATGTAACTTTTTGTTGTTTTATTTAAGAATTGGGTTTTCAGAACGACAAAAAGTAAAAAGATATCTCAACAGTGGAACAAAATCGAAATAAAATCGTGTCAGATATGAGCCCTAAATAACAAAAGTACCTTATACATACACACATTCCGTCATTAAGACGTCCATTTCTTCCTCCTACTTTTGTTTAAAATTTATTAGTAGTTTCCTTTTTTGATATAGGATTATTTTCTTGTTTTAAGAGGACCATATAAGCTAGACTTCTGGAACTCCTATTCCACAAATGCGTCTGATGTTGAATGATAAAATCATTTATAGTACTTTTTCTTTTGATATTGACAATGAGACTGTACTTTAATCGATTTACTTCTGATAGAAAATTCTAATTAAATCATGACAAAAATTTTTAATTTTTTCATTTCTGCTTTTTGCTTAAGTTATTTATTTGTATATGAATCAAATAGTTGGGCGTTTTATTATCTTTCGCTTTTACTCTATATGCATTCGTCATGTACAAAAAAACTAGCATAGAATTTTTTTTTGTTTTTTTTGTTCTAATTTTCTTTAAAAAACCAGATCTGTATGTGTTTATCGCGGTTTTTGTTTTCTTTTTGTACGTATATTAATTGTCAGTATACGATCGGGATTGTATCTAATACGAGCTTTTTTTCTGTTATCGGTGTTTCACGATACATCTATATATATATTCTATATCGAAATAAAAGATGTAAAACTGAATAATAATCTTTACTCATTCAACGCATCTTTGAGTGTCAAATATCTACTACCCATGTTCCGCTAATTTTTAAACTATCAACAGCCCCTAAATACCAATCCTGATATTCTCAGGGAAACTGGTGCTACTGTCATTCAAAGACGGCATTTTACACTATCTACACATGAAAAAAGACTATATTGTAACTTTGGGTATGTAAGAACCACATGAGATTTGTAGAGATCGTCACAAAGCCATATCTGCAAAAAAAGATTTTAAAATTTATTTTGCTTATGAGAAGATGTGTCAAAGTCTTGGCTTTCGAATGATAGAACCCACAACTGTCTATCACCTTTATTCAAAAAAACGACCATATCCCACAGTATTTTGAAGTAGATAGTAGGACCGAGTCTAGTGCAATTGTGACGATTTTCAAAACCATAAAAGCTGAATCCTTTTTTATTAATTTATTCTTTAAACAATTATACTATTCTATCGTAGATTTAGTAAAAAAGTTTGGACAACAGAAATAATACGATGGACGTTACTTCGCAACGTAAAACTAATCCTCGTTCGATAACATTCCAAAAAATGGAGAGAATTGTAAAAGCGATGCAACATCCAGAAAATGGTGTTCCTGTTCGAAGTCAAAAATTATTTTTAACAACTGTGCCAAATGCATTTACGGGCAACGATATTGCCGAATGGATGATGAATAAACTCAACATAAAAGATATTAGTAAGAAATATTTCAACCTTTTTTGTTTTGATTGATTTTTATGTTGTTTCATTTGTTTATTTTAGCGGAAGCATTACATCTCGCTACATTACTTTGCAACTATGGTTATTTCTTTCATGTAACAACAAATGGTACAATACAAATTAAAGAGGACAATGAATTATTTCGTTTTCAGGTAATAGAATCTTCTATTTCTTTTCTAATTTTGCGAAATATTTATTGTTGGTTACTTTACCAGGCTCCATATTTTTGGATATCAACTAATTGGACAACAGGCAATACGGATTATGGTAATAGCTGGTTAATCACATGGAGTATTTGTTTTTAAACGCTTTGATTTTTTTTCAGCGATTTATTTAATGAAACGCAACTTACGAAATCGTCAACGACATGGTTTAGAAGAATATGAAGTGGTAACTGTTGGTTAAATAAATTTTGTTTTACAACTACCTTTTCGTTACACAAAAGCTCAAGTCTTGGAAACTTGAACTGGCCCTTACTACGCGCACAGTCCTCGAGACTACCGTTCTGTAACTTTTCTCTCAATACAGTTGAGAATATATACGTTAGATGTCAACCGCACTAAACTCGCGTTACTCATAAAGAAATTGTAACAATGAATTTGTCTCATGTTTATGTTTTTAATAAAACAGTCTTAGTCTTAGTCTTGTCTCTGGTTAAACGTCAGGACAACGATTAGTAAGCGGATGGGTGATTACTACTGAAGATCGAATCATCGAATTATTTCGTTGACGTCTGACGTATATATTCTCAACTTGTGTTAAGAGTCACAGATCGGCAGTCTCGAGAACTGCGCGCGTAGTAAGGCTCAGGGGGTCGTATCACAACAAAACTTAAGTTTTCGTTATGTGCACTTACGTGCTAATTTTATACACTTAAGTCTAGGCTTTGACTTAAGTTTTTTCGTAATACGACCCCCAGTTCAGGCTTGAGCTTGTCTGTAACGAAAAAGCGGTTGTAAAAACAAAATTTATTTAATTTTAACAAGTCGAGTTTAAAAGATCAGACTATTGACTAAAACTATTGGCTAGTTTTCTAAGACAAGTGTGTAGTCTACTTTTGAAGTTAGTTCGTTTTCCGAATGAAGATACCACTAAACGTAATGGACAGTTATGTATTTATTTGTCTATTTAGCGTGCATTGGACGATTTAAAGAAAAAGCTTCTTCATCAATGGGATTTTATAACCATGCAAGCCGAATCTCAATTTCGGTAGAAATAAAAACATATGCTTCCTATCATTACGTAAAAAACCATACATTTTTCTAGAGTTTTGAAAGATCGTAAAAAAACGGACAAGACAATTATTGACAGTCAAGAACGTGCATTCTGGCATGTTATGCGACCTTCGGTAAGTTTTAGAAACAATGTGTTCTTTTTTTTCAGTTGCATTCTATTATCTACATATCATCTTAGCCTGATGAAACATCTGTACTAGATATGGACATTCGCAATGATTTATATACTTATCGACCAATTAAACGAGAAGACGCCATAAAAAGACGAGTAAGTTTCCGTGTGAAACCCTAGCATCCACAGAAAATATTGCGTATTTAAACGGGATTGTAGCTTGAATATCTTCAACAAGCGCTCAGCAATAGAGTTCGTACAAAGGCTTCTCAAACTCATCAAAGGTGAACCTTTATGTCGTAAAATTTAGTTGTTGTTGTCATCATTGTTAGTCGAAGATAATAGGATTCCGTCTAATTAACTATCGTTGTAGTTTTTATTTGCTTTTGTAAAAAGAGTCAGATTTGTATAAATTTTTATTTTATAGTTTATGTGCATTTTTTGAAATATTTTCCGATTATGATCCGTTTCTTGGACATTGTCAACCATCGAATCCATGGATTACAGATGATACATTAATGTGGGATGTCCTTACACCACTGTACGTTTTATATACATATGTTGTTTATAGATACCTTTAAAATAACCTTGTCTCCTTTCTAGCGTTGACAATCCTACTCAATTGCGTGTTCGTCGCTGGTCATTTAATGTAATTATATTTGAGCTCAGCCTTTCATAATTAAATATCTATTATTTGTGTATTTAGGTTAAAGAATTGCTGCGTGATCCAACTGGTGTTCGAGAATTTCAGAAATTTTGTGTGTCAGAATTTTCAACAGAAAGTCTCAATTTTTATCTTCATGTACAAGAAATACGCAGATGTCCATTAAGTCAAGTTAAACAAAAAGCTGAAACTCTCTATCGGTATGAAAAGAGAAAATAAATTTTGTAAAAATAAGTTATGTTTTACACTCTTTGTTAATTTAAAGCGAACATCTAGCCCCAAATGCACCACATGAAGTCAACATCAATGATATGATTCGAAGTAAAATTGTTAAGCAAATGACTAATCCAACCAGGTAAATAATTCTATTAATCTAATCGAATATATATATATAATAATTTGTACTGTTGAATGGTTTTTAGAGACATTTTTATAGAAGCCGAAAGACATATTATCGAGTTAATTAAAAAAAATAGTTATTCACGTTTTATTCAATCAGAATATTATCGTCAACTGTTAATGAATGCTCCAAATCCAATGCCAAAGAAAACGTACGTGAAATTTAACTAAAAAATATCACAATGATTTCAAGTTAACTCTTTTTTTCTGTTTAGTGGGATATTTCATTTTGTCAAAGACACTTATTTTCGTACATCAGATTCATCAAGTTCAGATTATGATTCGGATGAATCGGGAGAACAACATCATAATAATAATGCTCTAGTTGGTGGTAGAGAGAAGGAAGCAAAACAACAACATGCTATGGTAACATCAGCCAGCGGACAGGTTGCTGCTACAGCGACAACAGTAACACCAAACGTGGTAACAAATGTTGAAGTTACAAGGTAAACTTAACACTTTGAAACGCTAATTTTTCATAATAATTTTTTTACATTTTATTCAAGACCGACGAGTGGTGCGGGAAAGTATGTTTGTGTTTGCACATTATATGAGTTGCTCTATTTTAGAAAGTTTTTGTTACTTTAGGTTTCATCATCGATAACTGGCACTAAAATCAAAAGTTTTGATTCCTAATTATAGTCCATAAATGAACTCTTTTTAATTAGTTGTGCATTTTTCCTCTTAATTGTTGCTCTATGGATTGATTTGCTTATTGTGATCAGTGATCTATTCATTTTAAAATGATCTATTTGGTTGTTTACTTCTATTTTGTACTAATGTTGTTTATATTTTATCAGGTGGGTCTTTCAAACAGTTCAAAGAAAATGTGCCTTTCTTTTTTTATTTATCATTTGTATACATTAATATAATCTTTTATGTTGTTGCTGAAATTATGCTTATTTTTTATCTTAAACAAAAGTCTAATTGTCAAATGCGTTTTAATTTGCCAATATATAACTACCCTGTACTGGTTGTTGGACGGGATGTCAATCAAGAAAAAATATCAAAATGTTTGGTTGTATATTACCAGATTCAAAGACTCATCCAGTTATAAGTAAGAATCACAGTAGGAGATCCGAGTAAAAATTCAGTTCAGTCGCAAGATTGTAGACCAGACCATAGCGTCATACAAAAGGAATGTTTGACAAAATACAAGACTATTCAAATCCTCTTGGCAACGAAGTGTATGGTAGTTACTATCATAACAAGCACTATGTAGTGTATGTCTGTTTTTGGCTTGTACTGTAAGGTCTGACCAAATTCAGTTGCATAAAAAAGTGTATCAATCTCAAATGTGTGTGACTCAAATTTAACTGGATAGAAAGCTCAGATATGTTCAGAAAATATTAAACAGTTCGATCTCCCCGACAAACACAAGAAATCGATCATGGCACTACTGAGTACCTTGATATAATGACATTTAGTAGCACCATGAGTGACTTTTCTCATTAACGGCTGATTGTCCGAAAAATTTGATTACTTCACACACATATCATAATTTCGGCTTATATCACGAAAATTTTCCATCCAATGAATTGGAGTCTCATACATTAAAGAAGAGATGGCGCTGATTTGCTTTCGATTGTTTGTATGACCCGTCAATTGTCAGGTCACACACTATTGCTCGCCTTATGGTCAAATGAAGTTTGGTGTCGCAAGAGTCGCAATTTGCGTTCATTGTAGCGTTCTTTATCTATTCTTGCCTTTGAACGGAGAGATGCCCTAACTTAGCCTTATGGTATATCTTTTTTAACAATTAGTAAAATAATAGGTTGATGGTTTTTCCCTGAGTGCATAACTGTGTGTATAGTTCGCTTTGTTGCTCGTTACTAATCGTTTTGTTAGTCAGCCAACTTTTATAGGGTGATTTAAACAAAGAAATAGTTTTTCTTTCTCTCTCTCTCTTTCTGATACTACAATTAGGATGTATATCGTGTATATTCATCCTGTTTTCTCATTGTTTTCTTTTAGCTGAAAAATGAAGTTGTACTTTGACGTACAGAAATATCAAAAAATATTATCATTGTGCTTTGTGTTCGTTCTAATTGTTAATAGATTTATTTTAGTAATTCTATAACTTAGTACCAGTTATAAGCAAAGGTTCATTCTCTGCTATCCTGAGAGAATGTGCTAGAGATCAAGTATTAGGATACGTAGCAATTTTTCAAGTTATTGATTCGAGTGTTTCCCAACTCACTTGCCTGACAGGTACTGGTTAAACGCTTGAATTACATGAGTTTGATACAAGTACTTAGGAGAGTTATTTATAAGTAAAGTTACTTGTGAAGAAACATCAGAGACTGGCGTTATTACTTGTATTAAGCACTTTTTCAAGTATTTCACTTCAAGTACATTCACTAGAGATTGATTATGCACTATATTGATAATACACTTGAATAGAAAGGTGCAAATGTTGTGCACAGAATTACTCTACAACTCCATTGTTCTGGGATCTAAGACTAATAAGATTTAATCATTATCCAAAGGCTACGATATCATTTTGCAGAAATTATCGTGCCCATACGCAGAAACTAGCCTGATCAGTCATATTGTTCAGGCAAGAAACGTAAGTCTGTAAGACAAAGCGTTTTAGCTTTCGTTGTTCTTATTTCAAATATAAATGTGTTCTTCAGAAATCTTTCTCTCTCAAAATCATTATTCATCTTTAAATATCTCAATACAAGTAATTAGATTATAAAATGGCTGATACTGCCGAACAACCAGTCAAACTCGCTGAAAGTGATGAGATTAAAAGTACACAGGTGAATGGTGGCAATGCTGATGATGTTGAGAAATCATCGTCAAACCCTGAACCAATGGAATTGAATGCTGCACCGTCGCAACAACAAAATGGTAAGAAGACCATTTTTGAAAGAAAGATTGCTTTCCCATTACCACGACACAGATTTACTAACTCGACAGTTTTGTCAGAAAATGTTTGACTCCAAAAGGCTTCTCGCTTATTTTTTGATGTAACAAATCTTCTGCGGAAGTCCTATCATATTTCTGGCAATAAGGCCAACGATGACTCGTGTGTTGATTTATCCGTGAGCATTTTTTCTTCGACTACAGAATCAGTGAGATACTTTTTTTCTCATTCTAGGTGGTACTACAGTAACGGAAAACGCCGGTTCAAGTGGTGAAGGAGGATCTCAAGGTACGACTCAATCACAAGGCGAAAATACGACAAGTACCGCCGCACCGGTCGCAAAAACACCTGCTACGCCAAACACAGGTTCTCAACAACAAGATGAACCAGTTAAACCGGCGCAGAAAGCAGAATTATCATCATTGCCAACACGAGCTTATCTAGACCAAACTGTTGTTCCAATATTATTACAAGGTATGAGTCAATTAGCCCGTGAGCGTCCAAATAAACCGATTGAATTTTTGGCATTATATTTAACACAAAATAAAGAAAAATATGGTGAATGATCAGACGCGAACTCTCGAGTTCCGTACGAATACATACACAATTATATATGTACACACACTAATACATTTCATTTCTGTTTATTTTATTGATGTCTCATTATCATATCGGACATGGATAAGAAAAAAACTATCGGTTCTATTGTTACTTAACTATCGTAGTTTTCTTTTTTTTTCACCTAGACATGTGTTTTTTTGTTGTTGTTGTTTACAAATAAAACAAACAAACGTTAATGAACTGAACAATGTCATTCGGGAAAAGAGTTTAAAAAGAAAAAAAGATTGTCAAATGTATGAAAAGCATGGGTCAGATTGAAATAATAATTGACAAGAAGTCGATTATCTTCTGTGCTTTTTCTAATGTCTAATATTTTTCATCCTTTGTGATACTACAACTTTCATAGATTTTTTTTGTTTTGCTATCAATTATAACATTCACAGATTAGGAGAACATGATACAAGAGACGCGAAGTTGTTTTTTGTGCAGCAATAGTTTTACGTGAGATATTTTTATCACTTCTTCACTTTGCTGTTCTATCGCGAAATTCAATGAGTGACTTCTTGTTGGTCAGTCTCTGTTTCATGACAATGCTATGTCATTTCAACTCAAATTTAATTCAGTGAAATGGAACGAGACCGGTTGTTTTTGCATTCGAGAAAATTCTTTCTATTCTACACTTTTCATCGTCACAATTACCAAATATTTCGGAAGAAGAACAAAATTAGGCACGAATAGCAGCGAAAATCAAAGAAGTTCTATGTATACTAAAATAAACGTCTACGAAATTATTGCCTACTTTGTTAAAATTTCAAATATCGTTCGAGTATCTCAACATTCTCTTATCTCCTCTGATTATCGTTTTGCTTAGTCGATTTTCCAATCTTTGGATATTATAGTTGACCTTTAGTATTTTTCTTCTGTTGCATTTAAAGTTATTTGGAAAGAAGAGTACAAAGTAGAACATTCACATAGTAATGAAACAGAAAAAAACACACACCGATAAAAATTAACTGAGTATTTATACTGAAATAGATAGATCTATGTACACAGACAAGAATTTTTCATTACATAGATAAAAAAAAACTTTCAGATGACAGAATATTGTAGAAATATTTAATTTAATTATTACTTATCACTTAGTTATTAAACGCATTCATACTAGAGAATAAAAATAAAAATAAACAATTACAGAACTATTAATTCGGATACCAGGAGGATAATAAAAAAAAAAAAAAACTTATTTAGAAGTGAGAGGAAGAGTAAAAGCTTGTTGTTATCTAACTTTTCACTGGTTAAGAACATTTACCAAGGTAAAACAGAATATCTTCTCAACCAACCATTGATTGAAAAATAAGTTGAGTATTCGATGTATAAATTATTCGTCGATTGATTAAACTCATACACCGTTATAAACAATAGTACAAAAACAAATCGAAAAGGACGGAAAAATGACATAGTACAATAAACACCTGGCATATTGCAAATGTAATTGAACGAACATTGACTATATATATATTTAAATTAAGGACTATCAATAATTTTAATTGAATTTTCTCTCATTAATTGCATTTCTAAACGTTTTATTTCTCTACAATAACGCTGAAAAGACAAAATAAATATTATTTTAAGTATTATTATACAAATTCGACATCATCATATGGCAATAATCTTATCCTAAGATATATTTGCATTCGATAAAACGCAATTTTCAAATATTTTAGGAAGAAAGATATTAAAATTATTAATGAAAATGTTGTGTATACTGAATAAGTAAAGACCACTAATATTAGATCCAAAGCCTATGTTCTACAAACCTGATCAATTTCGGCTACATGTGTAGTATGAGACAGTTGCATATCTATTAAAGCTTTGATTAATTCTTCTTTTGATTGTGATTGTAAATCATCGATAGAAAATTTACTCGTTTTAGTTGGTAAATAATGTAAAAATTCACTATGACCACTATTACCATTTTCGTATGACATTGATTTATTTCCGTTTGTTTTAAATTTGAATGATGGCGAATAAGATGTAGGACTATTATTCAATGATTGTTCATTATCGTATAAAGTAGTATGATTACTATTATTTTCGTGTGGAGACGTGGGACAGGATGGAAATAATCTACTAGAAAAAGAAGTCATAAGATTAATTGTATGATATAAAGTCGATGAATGCTTTTACCTGGAGGATACCGGATCATTGTCTGGTAATAAAAATCGTGATGTTGGTGTATTTGGAGTTGTTTTTTCTCGTGGACTATTACTCTAAAAAAAGATAAAATATTTAAACATGGTTCTATCACCTTTGAACACGAACTAACTTTGGACGAGACATTTCTCGTTGGTGTACTAGTATTTGTATTATTTGCCGTTATTGATTCTCTCGATACACTTCGTTTTAAATCCATAGTCATGCTTCTTGTTTTAGATCGTGCCGAATCAATATTTCCATTCATTGTCGATGTTATTGTTGTTTGTTTTGGATTAGGTGATGATGTTTGAACACGAATTTTTGGATATAATCTTCGTCGTACACTTCCTAATAAACTATTTTCACGTGTATCCGCAGGTTTCTGTGGAGATAATAAATTCATTTGTGGTTGCTGTTGTTCTTGTTCTTGTTGTTGTTCTTGTTCAAATTTATATTGACTATTGTTTAATAAATATTCCATATACAATTGATTCATATCATGTAATGTTCGATACAAATTTTCTAATAAATTTGCTCTTGTTCGTTCCTATAACAATGTATTATTCGAGTTAAAAGAAAAATCAGAGTATTTTGTATTTACTTGTAGTTTCTGAAAACTACTTGTTTTGTAACAAGCTAATTCGGCATTAATAAGTTTGGTTAATAACCATTGTTTAAAAATGTTATCACGTTCAAATATTGGTGGATTTGGAAGTAATGGTCCGAAAAGTGGTACTCCATCACGGCCTTTCACCATCAACTAAAAAGTTTATATGAAAGAGTTATCATTCACTATCTAAACATAACTAATCCATACTTTATATTTGTTATTATCAATTGGAGTAATAATAATGTAAACATGTAAAAATTGAGATGTAATATAGTCTGGTTCAAATGGTGTTTCATTTTCTTGAAATACAATGGCTACAAGATCATTTCCAATATGACGTTTTCGTTCTAATTGTTGTCGATCAAATTTTGAGTATGGTAATAGTGTACTAATATGAAACATTAATTCGTGATTATTATATATTTCGTAGACAGATTCTGTACCAGTTTGATCTGTTTTAATATCTAATCCACCACGATAACTAGAGAATGAAAAGAAAAATATTTATATGAGTATAAATGATAGAAATAATTCTATTCTAAATCGTACCCATGAAAATCTTTTAATTTTATACGATTTCCTAGTATATTCAAAAATTCTTCCATTAGATCATTATGAGTTTCATTACTGAAAATATCTTCTTCTGTAAACTGAAAAAGAAAAAAGAAATTTTATAAAGTATGATCTTGTCTCATATTAAATTCATACTTGATCTTCTTGTTGAAAAATAACGCCAAATTTATGTTGACTTGATACTTGATGTTCATCATATTTGGCAAGTAATTCCTGAGCCTATTAATAAAAAAAAACAATAATAATAATAATAATAATAATAATAATAATAGAAAGAAGAATAGTTATTTTTTAATCTAATATATACGTACGCCATCACATAATATTGGATCAAACTTATCGACATCATTTATATCACAGTTTTCACAAATTTTATTCAATATTTTAAATCCTTCACTACTATCGGAAATAGTTTGAATGTAAGTCTGCTGTTTTGTTCTAAAGAATAGAATTCAATTACATTAGACGGATTATATGATAGTCCGAATGTCAGAGATAAATACCTGACTATAAATTTTTTTTCTGGCTGTGTTTTGTATGATACAATTACTGGTCCTCTTGATTCACTGTTTCCATACCAATTGGAATGTTCCTAAAAGAAATTAAATACTCAATATCAATGTGTGAATAATATCTAAGATGTAAATATGTACAGTTTTTGAGAAATAGTTTCGATATGTAAATGGTTTTTCGTCAATTTCTAAATTATAGGGTGGATAGGAATTTTTTAATGAACTATTAACATCTTCGATCCAATAGGAGTCAATTGATTTTGCAGATGACAATACTGTTCCTTGTTGACTGATATCATCACTCATAATCTAAAATAATTCACAAATATGTTGTTGTTTTTAAATATTTTTAATTAAATTCAACATACTTGTCGAAATTTATCAACATTACTGGGCGATGTTGAGATTCTCTAAATAAAAATAGAAACTTCTAAACAAATTTAACTAAATATACATTTAGCCGATTTTTAGAAATCGAAAATTGTTCATTCTATAATACTAAAACTATTTTCTATCATCAATTTAAGATTTCTATGTGTTTCGTAATCTGTCATCTGTCTTCAGCTAAGCAATAGAATCTAATGTTAATTATTTACAACAACATACAAAAATTTCATGTCAATAGTTTATAAATACATACAAAATGTTCATTATTCGGTTGAACAATATTATAAAAGTCGAGATACGATATATGTTGATCATTTAAATTAAATTTCATACGAGACTGATTAAATAGTGATGGAGAATCATGTGTTATAGCTGATGTATAATCATCGGCATTTTCAACTGTTACAAACAAATTGGTTGTATATGCACGTTGATGACGACGCATGTTTTTTTGTTTTGTTTTTCTACATAAAATAACTAAATTGTAATATATTAATGTTCTTCGTCTTTATGTATCAGATATCGTTCAATCATTTGATGATATTAATAAAAATGATTAAATAAATAAGTTTTCGATTATTATTTATTACTATTATAAGTTAGATGTTTTTTTCCTTTAGATATATCTTCAAAGTTTTGTCTCTGTTTTTTTCACCAAAAAAAAAAATCTCTTTTTCCGTATAATATAAAAAACAGCAGCAAAATATAAATATTATAGCACTCTATATACGACATAAATGACACTGAAGAAATAATAGTAGATAGATAGAAAAGAATGTTTTGACCCAATATATACACACACACACAATGAGATGTTTTTCGAACAGAAATTGTTTGATCTTATTCTCTTATATTATCCTTCTATAACGTATATTACATACAAAATATAAACATGATGCTCATGACATTTTATTCTATTGTTAGTCAGAAAATCTCTCCTTCTATATAAGCAAAATAATACCAACGACATTTTTGACATCCATTTCTTGTCCATATTCAACTTTTTTTTTTTTTGCTTATCTCTCTTAGTGTTTAATTAACCGTATGCTTTTTTTTTTTTTTTGTACCATCCATTTTATTCGTTTATAAAAATAACAACATGTTAATAACCTGACAGATTTTTTCATGAAGAAAATTACATCATGACAATATATGCTTTGTGAACATTGAAGATTATATTTTAATGAAAAAGTGAACCTTCAAAATTATAAGACATATTTATTGCCGATTCTATTTCTTCGATTCATTTATATTATTTTGAGCAGTTTTTTAGAATTGTCAAATCAGACATATATATTAAAGTTCATTTTATACAATATTTTTAATTATACATATCAAGTACGGTGAAAGAACAATGAATGTGATTGTTTATACATTATATCAATGAAAATGAAGAATATATGAATATAGGGGGGTATTATTGAAATTATTATAGAAAAAAAATAGACTATCACATTCACTTCATTAATATTAGTATTTTATAACAAAACAAAAAATATAAGAACAAAAGATGTTTGTTTATATATAAAATATAATTATTATCAATAAAAATAAAAATATTCTGTAGGAAGGTCGTTACTTATACGTTAAATTTAATATGAAATAATTACTGTGAGTTAGAAGGAAAAATTATACTTTACAAAACTCTTTTCTCACCGTATTTGATAGAGATATACTTTCGTTTCGCATATTCAATGTTTTAGTTTCGTCATTGATAATGGGTAAAACTGGTAAAGTCTAAATAAAGAGTGAGAGAGATATTTGCCTGTTAAATGAACTCTTAAGCAATAAATAGCAATTATTCAGTAAACATTCACATATAAAGCTATTATAAAATATTTATCTCAAGCCATACGTAATAAAGTTTATATTTAAGCAAAACCGCCAGCTTTGTTAATGATTGTTTCAAGTTTGTTTTTGGGCTATCATCTTTTTCTATACAGTAATCAACAAGTGTTTCTTTTATCCCGTAGGAGTCGTTTGTAAAAAAAAAAAAGAGCAGATGATGTTCACCTGGTACAAAAAGCAGTTATGGAACATTCTCAATTTTATAAACTCACCAATAGATGTTTCAATACTCTATGATTCTGAAAACGGATAATGTCAGACTAAGATAAAATCTAGACAATGGGAGTCAAATTCAACTATACACACGATACCATATACGATATTCCTTCTACAGAAATAAATCTTATAACATTCTTATTTATCTTACCTTCGTATCTCCATTTGTACCATTGTTAACAGATTCTGTGGCGTTGCCTAATAAATTTACTAAACTTGTACTGATCTAAAAGAAAATTGAAAAATCAAATTAGATAATTTTCTAAGAAAGAATAGGTTATTAAATAGGATTTGATAGAGTAAAATGTGCTATTCTGTTCAATGTAGTTATATAAGAGGGGGGAAATGCACGTGTACGTACAAAAAAAAAACACTGAACTCTAGACGTCTAACTAATATTAGAAGAGGAGAAGAAAAAAAAGGAAAGAAATACTAGACACAGAGTCGATATATTTAAAAAAGTAAAAAAAAAAAAAAGATCACATGTCAAGATAGAAATGTGTGTATAAAAACAAGAAACTATATGCTCTGTTGTATTGTATTGCATATTTAGGTAGTTAAAATATGAAGTAGGAAAAAGAAAACAACAATTGATCTTTAAGTTAGTTTATTCTTTCTATTAATTTTATTTTAAAAAGTATGTTTTTTGTAAGAACTGAACAAGTGTTTAGAATCTCGCCTTTAAATACGCACGCTAAAAAGATTGATAAATGTCAATGGTATGTTCAATCAAACGATATTTATAGAACAGAGATAGATAGAATGAACTACTTTGATTTAACTTACTTCTTTATTTGCTATTTTTAATGATGTTTCATTATCATTTTGTAGACTTGAATTTTGATGTCGTGTTAATACATTGTTTGATGTTGAATGTACACTATTTGAATTTTTATTTTCTCCTATCGGTTTTCTAGGAGGTATTGCTGGCGGAGAATCCAATTGTGATGTATTTTCTTGTCGATGTATAGAATATTTTGTATGACGATTATGATTAGTCTTTTGAAGTAAATGTGATTTGTGTGTATAAGGATGATCATCATCAGTTGGATCAGAAATACCACTATCAGTGGTGATAACACCATTAGTTTTAGATGGGTGAGGTTTTGCGCGTCTAAATTAAAAATAAAAAAAAAAGAAGAGTTTATCACTTTCTGGATGAATAATTTTTAATAATATTTCTATAATTTTGATATAGATTCGACCGAAAGATAAGATTGAATGAATTATTTTATTTCCAAAATGGTGTGAGAGTAAAGTGTTGTTTAATAATAGATAGGTTTCTTGTGGATGATGGAGATGACTCATACAAAATAGAAAATACAAATTTTTTCTTCTCATCGTCATCATGTTGCTTTTTCTGTATTTTTTAAAACTATTCATATACTCAGATTTCATTTTCTTTCCACTCAAAAGGAAGCATTTGTCCTATCGCGTTTCTAAATTACTGTGTGAGAGACGAAAAAAAAAGAAGAAATTGAAGGTACATATACATATCGATTAAATTACAGTATAACAAAAGATTTACTAATGGAATTAAATAGTTCTGCAAAATTCAAATTAATTTTAACTGTTTTACAATTGAAATTGAGATTTTTACAGTCATTCCGATAGTATAGTTACTTTTAAAACAAAATCAAAACTTTCATCGATCATAACGTTTTCAGAGATCAAAAGAAAAATCTTTTGATATGATTTTTAGAACTATCATCACCAATAATTCATAGATATTGTGTCCTATGACATACCTTCGACGGAATGATCTTAGCATTATAAATAATGAAAGATATTTTTGGTTTTGTCGTTTAATCAGAGATGTTATATCGATACCATAAAAGGTGAAAATAACACTTGAATATAAAAAAAGTCGTTTAGAAATAATAATAATCGGTAATAAACAGTTTTTTTCCGTTTCTTTCCATATTTATTACAAGAGTGATTCAGATTACTTTTTTATGATTTCACACAAAAAAAATTATAACAAGCCAACCTCCACATACCACCACCTCAAATTTTTTTTTAAAAAAAAGTAGAAGAATGGCACCGTCGTTTTGTTAAACAAATTTTTCGAAAACAAATAGTAAAAGAAAGAAAAAAAATGATAGATTGTAATAGAGAGGTCAATATATAAAATTGACAACATGGTACTTCAATATAGGGTATTTTTTCTTACTAAAAAATTTTTTTTCTTTGCAATTATTTTTTGTCGTTTGCTGATGGCGTTAATTCAAAGATTGTATATGTATATATATATACATACATACAAATATGAAGAGATCAATAGTCTTCTACACGATTCTAAACAACATCAGCACGACATATTCCTATGTATGCCAAGACAAGACGAGAAGAAAGAGAGAGTAACATTAATATATATTCTGCTATAACAGTTGAAATTAATAAAGTGTGAACATTAACTTCACATGTTGAACACAGTAAGAACAAAAAGGTAAAATAAGTATGCGTGTATTTTCATAGTTCAATAATAAAATAATATTGCGTTTAGAAGCAGAAAAGAATTAATGTAACTAACAATAATGCATGATGCACAGTGGGCGCATTCAGATGGAAATTTAGAAAAAAACAGTGAGCTGGCTTTTTCGTAATTTAAATAGTGTTTCATATACTTCGAGCCGATTAGTGTTTCATATACTCCGACGGCTGATTTAATGGCGAAAGAATTTTTATTCTACGACTTTTTCTTCTATAAAAGATTTGAAATGCAAAAACACCATATAAATGCGCTATTTTTTCGGAAAATTTCAATTTTTATTGCAGGATCGTAAATTAGAATAAAACCGAGATCATATTCGGGAAGAACACAGTCAGACGAATACGAAATAAAAAAGAATTTTGTTTTTCGAGTGAAACTTAAGAGTTTTGGAATGGATTCTTTCGAAAACGGTCTAGGCTGTAGAGGTTCTCTCCGATATTTTGAGAACGCACAGCTTAGCGCAGGTCTGAACTAACATATTTTTGTACCAAAATGTTCCTCGTGAGGCCGTGCATCTATGGTGAATGCGCAAAAGTGCGCATATTTTCCTGGACTGAGATATTGGTTTTCCAAAATCCCTCGGTTTTTGAAGTAAACTGACCTTTTCGCACTCAAAAAACATTTTTTCCTACATGATATATATGTATTCGAAATCACCATGAAAAACTGCAAGGATGGTATATAATTCATCTGAATTCGGTCCTTCCGTTCTGAATTCTATAAATTTCTTAGATTTGGGAACTTCCGCTGAAAATTCAAAATTCAAGAGAGAAACCGTGGAAGGTCTGAAAAAACTGCTTCTATAGGTTATCGACGATGCTCTATCCAATGGAATGGTTTTTCAGTTTAAAAACATTTTTCAAAGGGTTTTCCACAAATCCGGTCTCTGGAAAACCCACTGGAAAACTTTGTTGAAATTGGAAAACTATTCCATTGGAAAGAGAACCGTCGAAAACCTATAGAAAGTGGTTCAAATAATTTCAGTCCACTTATAAAGTTAATGTCCTCCTGCTCTAGCGAAAAATGCCCACTGTGTGATGATCGGAAAAGTGGAAGCGCTTAGTTTTTTTAATCGTAAACTGACAGATACATAAATATGATGCGAATAGATCAACCGAATTTAGAAAAGAGGAAAAATGAAACAAACATAAATGATCGATGATCGATATGCTGCTACAGAGACGAGACATACATAAAAAATATAATGTCATTTTTATTTATTTTATTCTCTCAAAAAGTTGACTATTTCTTTAGTTGTGTAACTCTTTTTATCAGTTTACTGTTAGTAAAGGAGGGTATGACGACTTTTCCTACTGTATGACTGATTGAATTGAGAACTTTATTTTCTTTGTTAACTATAAGACATTTTAATTTTCTTTAATTGCCTGTCAGTCCGTTTCCCATCTTAAGATACGTCTCCTTTTTTCGTGATAAAAAGAATTTAAAAATAGTAACTGATGAAATTGTGTGCTATAGCAGCACATCCTGAAATATTTATCTAGATAGATGTTCTTTGATCTCTACATAATGTTAATCCCATTTGCGTGTTCAGTTAGGACTGTAAACACGTGATTCACCTTCGCACAGTTTTTGTTTAAAGGATATTAAGTCACTACTTAGCTTAATGTAATAGGACTTATTCATACGACCACAGAAATTTATTTATTAAGACATACGGTCTTTTGAGTGGAAATAGGATGTTTCACTCTATTGCTCACATAAATGATCTATTTTCTATTAATATTTTTATAAAAGAAAATTTGATTTTAACTCATTTAGAATATCAACAATGTTGTAAAAGAATAATTATAAATCAAAGTTTTATAAATGATTTTTATTCAAGATTTGCTAGTTTAGTGACTAGCGGAAGTCTAATGCGATTGTTTATTATATACAACTTACCCCTCCAGTTTGTAACACGATCAAACTTTTTGTTCAATGAATAAGCCAAGTTTGCGTGAAAATAACTATACTATAGCCTATTCATGCGATAAAAGAAAAACATTCAAAGGAGATTCACAGGAGGGAAAAGAGGAAAGGAAATTATAAACGTTGTGTAAGATGTCTATATAGATTTGAGAAGACGGAAAAAAATTTCCATAACTAATATTAAAAAAAAAAAAGAAGAAATTGTATTTCTTCTTTTTTTTGTTTTTTTCTTCATGTTCTCAAACATGAACATGGAAAACATTTACTATATATTTATATCAGCTGATGATCTTCTATATAATTTGTCGAACTGCAAAAGGAACACTACTATAAAATGCACACGAGCTTTCTTGTTGAAATAGAGAGAATACAATTGCGTAGATAAAAGGACAAAAAAACTTTCTAATCAATGAAAGATACTTTTTTAGTTTTGCATAAAGATACACAATCTGTTGCGATTTTTAAAGCGAAAAAAAAAGGAAAAAATATAATCCAGATATGTCTGTCGTGTGCTACTTGTAAAAAACGACAACTGATGAAATCTAGCTGTATACAATAAAAAGAAATGGCACAGGCTGACTTCACACTTGTACTTTAAGATATGTCACCATGGTCTTTAGGAAAAATGAAGAATTATAAATGACATAATGGCTACAGTATCTATTATTACTATTGTAAATCCTAACATCATACTGACTAACACAATAGTAGACCGGAAGTCTTCTTCTCTCTTATTGTCTCAAACAACTTAAAAGTAAATGAAAATCACATGGTAGACAGGTCGTACTTTTCTTTAATATCTTTTTAACCTTTCGAACGTATTCTATCAATCTTTAATGTTCAGTTTTCTCCACTCGTATAAAATTATCCTGTAAGAGTATTCATATTTAACTCGAGTAATTGTTGTACCTCTCATAACAACAAAGATTACATAAAGCATCGTTTCAAATCACTAAATCTAAATCATCAAGGCTTTGCTTCATGAATGGCATTGATGCGACAATTTAGTCATTGATTTCTGCCTATTAAAAATGTCTATCTACATTTAAAACAATCAGCATAAAAAACTGCGATCAGTCATGTGTCTTTTCATAGAAATCATCTTCGATTATCTGTTGCCTTTAGTCTCAACATGATGGCCCTCTTAAGAGTGTTGAGTAATAAATAATGCATCACCAGACTCAGTTGTTTATGCTGTTTGTGTTGAATATAAACGTTTTTAATGCTTAAAAACACTTTATAAGCAACAGGAACTGTTCAACAAAAATGAGCCGATAACTCATCAATGACTCACAGAGCAAATCGTACAGTGATTCATCAATTCACAATCTTTGTCTCATTCTCACTTTGACTAATTTGTTCAATTCTTCACTTTCAAGATAAATGACTAACGGAACTGATCACACGATGGCATTCAGAAAAGATTTTACATGCAATGATGACTGAAGATTCATGCACTAATAACACTAATAATCGAAAATATCCATTATCTTTAGAAAAATCTCCCAGTTTTTTCAATCTATACGATGTTTTGTTTCTGACTCGTGTTTAGCGAGCGCCACGTTAATATGAACCGTTCATCTAACATCAGATTAATGCTGTACCTCTTCTCCTCACTGATTATGTCTATATGTTGACTTTGGTGTGTTATATGCGAATTTTTTATTCGATCAGATCGCACGAGTATTTTGTGTTTGCACTTTTGGCTGTTATATAAAGATAGATAGCTCACAGATTGACAATCATTTTGGTAAAAAAAAAATAAAAGATTAATCCTTACTGTAAAAAGTGACAATTAGTTTCTCTGAAAATAAGCTTCGCACACTAAATGTCCTGTGAAATCAGTTTTGTTTTTCTAATATCTCCATTAATACCCAACTTTTCGCTGTGATTCTTTTATCCTATTTTCCCTTTGCGTTGTACAGCATATGCCCAAAACTGAAGCTCAAAACATTTTGTCCTTCCTGAGAAAAATGTCATGCGCGATTTTTTACTTCACAATGTCCAGTGAGACGCTTTCTGTCCTGGAAAATACACTAAATCTAACTTTATCGTAAACCATAAAGCTTGGCGATACAAATCTAGCCATGTACGTCTGATAGCTTTGTCACATAGTAGTTATTTTTTTTTAAGCTGAAGAATCTTGAATGATATATTTTCTCCGAAGTTTGCAAAGAAGCTTTCACTGGCAGTAAAACGCGTTGAATAGCACATAATTAGAGAGGCCTCATCGAGATCTATCGATTGATACATTAGAACAAAATTTTCAAGGTCATTTTACGTCGTCTTTATCGCAATAGGCTCGGGGATTATGCTCTTCGTAGTGAAAATCCGTTTTCTGAGAAAAA